GTGCTGTCTCTTTAAATGCAAATGAGGCGCTTTTGACCACCCCCCCATCCAGGTGACACAGGTTCAACTCCACCCCGAGCGGCCATTTTTTTAGTTTCTAAGCACAGATACAATTATCTCATAGAAACTTCTTATTGCATCGCAAACATGAAGCAGGCCTTCCTCATTGACTGAAAGCAAATGTTAATTTTCATTCTTAGTCCAGTCTTATTATCGACTATCGCAAGTTTATTTATATAGCACAATTCATACACAAGGCAATTCAAAGTGCTGAACAAAATATGAAAGCATTAAAATCATAAATAATCACAAAACATTAAAAAGAAAGATAAAAATATAAAATCCCTCAGTTGTATGCACAGCTAAACAGAACTGTTTTTAACCTGGTTTTAAACATTGTCAGAGAGGAGGCCTGTCTCACATCTTCAGGAAGACTGTTCCAGATTTTAGCAGCATGAATCTGAAAAGCAGCCTCCCCATGTTTAGTTCTGACTCTGGGCACTAACAGGAGTCCAGTCCCTGTGCTCCTCAGAGTCCCAGCAGGAGTCCAGTCCCTGTGCTCCTCAGAGTCCGGGCTGGTTCGTATGGTACTAACATGTCACTAATATATTTTGGAGCGAGGCCATGGAGAGACTTGTACACAAGCAGAGCTCACATGCCGGTTTGTTTACAACAGCGGCCGCCTGGCGCTGGCCTACGTCGCAGGATAAGACGCACTACGTTGACAGAAATGTTTAAAATGAATATTACTTATGCACAATTTTACAGCATTTAAAAACGTTAAGAACATTTTTCCTTCTACAGAAGGAAAAAGACGCATGCACCTCCGGAGCCGCAGGTTGCCGACTCCTAGTTTATACAGTATGTGGAAGCAAATACTGTAGAGGATCAGGATATGCAGTTCCAACAATAAAATAAAATGCAATAGTCTACATTACAAGAGAGTAATGAACATGTCTCAGAGTGAGGGAGGTGGACACAGATAACACTATTGTTTGTTACAGGGATGAGAATTGGTCAAAAAAGACTGAAATGCATATTGTCAGCCATTTGCTGGCTCTAAATCTGTTTAATTTGTTCACAACATATTACTTTTGGGCTCAAACATGAGTTTTTAATGCAATGCAAAATGTAGGTATCAGATATTTAGGGTGTTTAATCGCGCTTCGAGAGGAGAGGGGAGACGCGGACTGTTTCCTGCAGCAGTGTATTTATTGGGTTCACAGATTACTCAAAGACACGCATGGTCCTGTGCGCGTTTATGGGGTTGGGTACATGGCCACGTTGAGGCTGCGCGCTCAGCCACAACACGGTGGAGCGGCTGCGAGCGGCCGCTGGACGCTCACAGCCTCTTGCAGCCGCATTACAAAGCGGCCGCAGATGCCCCAGAACACTGCGGCCGCTGAGGTGGCGGAATCCCGTTCGAGTACATACAGCAGGTGCCCCGCGGATACGCGCGCCCCCTCGAACAATTCTCAACGGATTTACACTTCTCATAAACATGTGTTTTCTATGAGGCAGACAGACCGGCCCAAATATGGGCATCGGCCCTTTGGGCATTGCCCGGTACGGCCGATGGCCAGTCCAGCCCTGTGCGCTGGCATCCTTGAGCTTGGACTACAAATTCGAAGTGATGCACAGTAGAGGAGGGCTGGGCCGAAGTGTTTTGTTAGACGCCCATGCCCTTATATAGCAGTCCCGCTGCAAATACTGTGACGTAATAATTCTAAACACGTAATAGAGAAAAATCAAATAGGCAAAATCAGAACGGGTTGAAAAATCTTACCTAAACAGAATATGAAGTGTTCTCTGCAACCCATGAAGAGACTGATTTCAACTTTTTTGCACTTCTAGAGGCTCCAACTACACAACATAAGGCATTTAAGACACAAAAAGTGGATTTTTCATGATATGTCCCCTTTAAGTACAGATACTGCCTGCCTCAAGGCAAGCTTTTTCCTTGTGTATGTCTTTCTAATCAAAAGAATTAAACAATATTTAAATAGTACGTTCTGTTCTCCTGTAGCAGATCTCCATGCTCCTCCTCCTGCAGCAGGTTTCTGTTGTGGTCTCACTGTGATGTTCTCCTTTTCTTCTTAAACCTCATGTGTCTGTGGCTTGTTCCTGCAGTGCTCCCCCAGTCCTGCGGGAGCAGGGCCTCTCGAGCGCACCTGTGCCTCCATCCCTATTCCCACCATCATCATCAAGGAGCCATCCACCAGCAGCAGTGGGAAGAGCAGCCAGGGCAGCAGCATGGAGATCGAGCCCAGCACTCCTGAGCACCCCTCCCTCACCAGCCACGTCTGCGGAGGACTCAGGCCTGACGACTCTGGCTCCGCCCCCAATCCCTTCGCGGCCGCAATCGCAGGAGCCGTGAAGGACCGCGAGAAGAGGCTGAAGGCCAAGAAGAACTCCATCGCCTTCCAGTCCATTGACATGGGGGATGATGACCGGGTGAGTGTGGTCCCAGTGATGTCACATTAGAGTTACAGTGGTGAGAACGGCTGAAAGAGCTCTCCTGGTATCTGTGGTAACTGGTAAGTATGGTAACTGTCTTAGTTTAGAGAAAGTTTCTCTGTTATTCCTTGAACAATCAAAAGAACTGCTTTAAAGTCCATTCTCTTAGCCACAGGAAGCCAGTGCAGAGACCTGAGACCAGGACTAATGTGAGAGGACTTCAGGAGAGAGACCTGAGACCAGGACTAATGTGAGAAGACTTCAAGACAGAGACTTGAGACCAGGACAAATGTGAGAGGACTTCAGGACAGAGACCTGAGAGCTGTGAAGTAGACTGAGCCCCTACACTCTCATGTATACCGAGTCTTGGCGCAGGACTCGGGAGGTGACGGGTTCAGCACTCCCACTCCGCGCCTGCGTCAGTCCAAGTCCATTGATGAGGGGATGTTCGGCAGCGATGAGAGACTGCGCAGGATCCTGGCACCATCTGCTTCTCTGCAGAAGAACAGCATCACAGTGAGTTAGCTGAACCTTTAGGGTCAGGGCTGGAGAGATCAAGGGTCAGAGCTGGAGCGGGCCAGAGTCAGCTGAAGTCAGAGCTGGTGAGGACCAGGGTCAGCTGAGGTCAGAGCTGGGAGGATCAGAGTTAGAGGAAAGATCTGGAGAGGCCCATGATCAGCTGAGGTTAGAGCTGGTCAGGGTCACAGGTCAGCGCTGGAGAGGGTCAGTTGAACTCGTAACTGGAGAGGTTCAGACGTCAGCTGAGGGCAGAGCTGGAGAGTGTCAGAGGTCAGATATGGAGAGGCCCAGGGTCAGGGGTCCAACGTCAGACCTGGAGAGGGTCAGGGTCAGCTGAGGTCAGAGCTGGGAGGGCCAGGTTCATCTGAGGTCAGAGCTGGAGAGGGTCAGAGGTCAGAGCTGGAGGGGCCAGGTTCAGAGGTCATAGGTGGAGAAGGTCAAGGTCAGCTGAGGTCATAACTGGAGAGAGCCCGGGTTAGAGGTCAGTGCTTGATAAGGTCAGCTTAGGTTCAAGCTGGAGAGGGCCAAGGTACGGTTGAGGTGAGGGGCCGATGGCACAGAATTGTTGCCTCACTTCTTTCAGTGTGCCCCAGGGTGGCTGTGGGTACAGTGGTAGTTTAGTTGTGTGCGTGTCCCTCTTTCTCTGTGTGTGTGTAGCTGGGGAAGCCGGTGGGCGGTGGAAACATGACTGACTTCTCATCTCCGGAGCCGGTCATGGTCCGGGAACCCCTGAGCACAAGGACAGGTCAGTGTCCGAACTTCGACAGTCCGGCGAGTCTGCCCTCCCCCGGTAAAAGCCATCAGCGCACAAACGGGACCTACCTCCACCCTGTCACGGGCAAACCCCTCGACCCAAACTCCCCACTGGCCCTGGCCCTGGCAGCTCGGGATCGAGCTATGAAGGAGCAAAACCATCCACAGGGCCATACTCTATCTCAGGTGAGAAGGACCTCTGAGAGAGACCAGAGAGAGACTTAGAAACTTTAAATAATTGTTGATCTCTATTAAAAATCCAGCTGACATCCTTTGGTTCCCTAGGTGCAAACGACCAAACACGAAGTCCAGTCTCTGCCTCCGTTGCAGACCGGCCCCAAGACCGACCTGAACCAGCCTTTGTTCATCGACACCAAGCTGCGGTCCGGCATCGAGACCAGCTTTGCTGAGATCTCCTCCACAAGCAGCGCGGTTGGGAGGGGCCGTGGTCTGAGGCGGCAGAACACTGAGCAGAAGTACGACAGCGAGAGTGCCAGGGAACGGGAGCCCAAGCATCAACCGGTGGAGGAACGGAAGAGTGCCCCCCCCGAGGGGAGCGAGGCTAAGGCTACAGGGCTGCTGATGGTGCACACCACAGACACAGAGGTAATGACACTACTGCTACCGCTGCTGCTGCTGCTGCTACTACTACTGCTACTGCTCCTGCTCCTCCTAATGCTATCACTCCTGTTCCGCTCTGGCTTTACTGCTACTGCTGCTGCTATTGATACTGCTACTGCTACTGGTGGCACAGTGGATAGCTCTTCTTTTGGGTTTCTTTGTGGAGTTTGCATGTTCCTTCTGCGTCTACTCCAGGTACTCTGGTTTCCCCTACCACTAAGAACATGTACAATAGGTGAAGGTTGAATGAATGTGTATTTGTGAGTGTGACTGTAGGATTGCAGATGGAAATGATATGTTATTGTATTTATAGCTCCAGTAATAATGAATACACGCATTCCCATTCGAATGAACTTATAATCAATAAAAACCAGAGAGAGCGCCCAGAGAGACCACATACATTTTAACGGTTGGTATGTGTGTGACAGGACAGCAACACGCCGTCGGAGCTGAAGGACCCAAATGAGCCAGAGTCCCAGACCCACAGCCGCAGACGCAGTGTTCTGCTCGGGGAGTCACTGGACGAGCCAGTAAAGCTGCCCTTCAGAATCCCCCCTCCCCCGCTCGCCTCCGTGGACATTGATGAGGAGTTCGAGTTCTCTGACCCCCTGCCCCCCCCACTGGAGTTCGCCAACAGCATCGACGTCCCGGTAACAAGCTGTGTCCATGACAACACACACGTAATATTCATGTATCGCCCTAAGCCACAAAAGCAGTTGTCTTGAACCTAACCCAACCCTTTTAACATGGGAAATGTGTGTATGTAGAATGCATGAACCAAGTTCTACCCCATACTTAGACAGTATACAAATGGACAATGCCCTGTTGTCACATCCAAATCAGAATATTTTTTTATTCGCAAGTAACAAGTCACAATCCAAAATATTCTTTGGCTCGAGGTGCAACGAAGTAAAAGTAAATTAACTAAAAGTAGATAAAAGCCATGGACAAAAAATTGTCATAGAATTTGTTAAAATTACTACTATATACAGTGGTTTGCAAAGGTTTGGGCACCCCTTTCAATTTTATTATATGATTTTCCTTTATAAAACATTGGTTGTTTGGAGAAGACATTTCAGTTAAATAGATAATATAGAAGACAAACACAGTTGTATTTGTACGGAGCCCTGAAGGGGATACTTCGAGATACCACTCCCCAAATAGCCCCATGGAAATAGCTAACCGCTAGCAGTGCTTCCAGCTAATGCTATGTCAACAAACCAGTGGCACCAAACACGTGGGGAAGGTTTATTGAGGACATAAGGACATAAAAACAGTTTTCAGCCACATGCAAGTTTTATTCAAGACAAAACTTGTGAAGATATTTGAAGCCGCTTTTGATGTATGCTTTGCTGCCTTATTTTTCCCGAGCCACGGCCGCAAATGCGCGGAACCCATGTCAACTTGTACTGTATACAACCACTCATCTTGGATCCGGAGCTAACACGTTACGTGTGTTTATGGTATGTAAGTGCATTATTCTTTACTGTTGAGTTATGAACACAACTGTTAGGATAAAATACAGGCATACGTTAGAGCTGCCACAGACGTGTGTTTGTAACCTTGTTATGTGCTTAAAATACAGGTATACGTTAGATCTGCCACAGACGCGTGTTTGTAACCTTGTTATGTGCTGTGATTAAACTCAAGTTTGTCCCTCAAAGGTAAGCTAATGCTAGGCTATTCAGTCAATTGAGATCGTGTTTGATCAAGAAAAATCATATTATTTTTTATCTTTAGGGAGAAACAACCCCACAGATTAAATATCAAAGCTACACAGAGGAAACTAACGTTTTTATGGAGACAGCAGCTATAGTATGCTAACCATAGTGCTAACACTTGCTTTATGTATTGATATAAGATGATTGTATTTATAATGTTTAATCCTATACTAAGACTGGGAATAATGTATCTTTATTTACATTTAATGTATATATTTGGCCTTTGGGCCTGAAGGTCGTGGGTTCAAGCCCACCACAACACCTACTTCACGACTCCCACTGATTGCTTGGGCAAGACACTTAACCCCACTTTGCCTGAAGCCCCCGCTGAAAGATCAAGGCTCCTGTGGCCTCACCACCTGCAGGAGGATCAGTGAGGGGCTGGTGCTATGTGTACCGGGTTCAGCTCTGACTGCCATCCTCCCTGACCCAGAAATGGATTGAGGGGAAGAAGATGGATGTATGGATACTGTATATATTAGACATATACGAAATGATTGAATCGGCCAAGGCTTTTTATAAAGCACTTTACTTACAATAGTCTGATTAATATACGTACAGTATGATGATATAAGCATATTATCCATCCATCCATCCATCTTCTTCCCTTTAATCCATTTCTGGGTCAGGGGGGTGGCAGTCAGAGATGCCACCCAAGTCTCATAGCACCAGCCCCTCACTGACCCTCTGCAGGTGGTGAGTCCACAGGAGGACGGCTGCTCTCTGACTGTGAGCATAGCCTCGATCTTTCAGTGGGGGCTTTGGGCAAAGTGGGGTTAAGTGTCTTGCCCAAGGACACAACGACAGCAGTCATCAGTGGGAGTCGGTGGAGAAGGTGTCGAGGTGGGAATTTAACCCACAACCTTCAGGCCTGAAGGCCAATGCTCTACCAACTGAGCTACTGTCGCCCCTATAAGCATATTATACAGATGTTTATTTTGTCAATAATAAAATACATTTGCAGATGACAATGTCCCACTTCCATAAAGACAGCTTTAAAGTGGTTAGCCATGCTTCTAAGTTGATTATTTGTGTGCATATTTCTATTCTATTATTATTATTCTGCACTCCTCCTCAAAGTGTTTCTCCTGCTGTGAAGTTATACCTTTTTCAAATTGAATGCAAGGCCCCTAATAATTAGTATTAGTTGAATACAAAGTGTGCAAAGAATCTAAAATGTGTGTTCTTCAGCCCTTTAGGCTTCACTATTGCATATCTCTCGGAAGAACCGCTTCCCGCCCTGAGAAGATCAAACGATCCACCGCTCCAATCACCTTGACGTCCTGGCGTAGACCAGTCCCCTATATAACGGCCCTGCACCACAGCTCTTCTCAGTCAAGAGAAGCTTTGATTCTAGTGAAAGATGTCTTCAATCATACAATAGTCTGATTCGCGCTCCTTTGACTCCTTCACGCCTGAAATCTTGTCACCCTCCGGTGTCAGGCTGTGGATTTGTAACTTGTGCCTGGCGGCCCTCTCTCAAGCTACCTGCCAGCTGCCTGGGTGGGCGTCATGCAGCGGAGGTCAGCCACGGTTGTGTGGCCTGTCTCGCACTCCCAGGGGAGGAGCACGATAGGCACGATAGGTTACTGACTGCCACCTTGAGTGATGCCCAGGGTGGGCTCGCTAATGGTGTGCCACCCTTTGCCTATGCTGCTGCTTCGCCTGGTTTCGGAACTGGATCGAGGACCGACTACGGTGAGGTGGATCTGGTGAGGGCCTTTGACAAAGATACCCTGTCCCTACATTCTCTGGCAGGAACAAAATCTCCATCGTTTCTCCAGCTTAACCTCCCACACCTCAATCTTCACTACAACAAACTTAGGACCAATATTTTCATGCTTTTATTCATTTTAGGTCATGAACAGTTAGAACAAAGTGGGTTCTCCACGTTGCTTGTTCTGAAGACATGCAGCAGTAACAGCAGCAGCAGAAACCAAAACAGCAGAGTGCCGGGCGTCTGCCTCTCCTTCATAGAGAAGAATCTGGAAATAAAAAAAAAAAATCATACATGTTGCTTTTATTTTGATTTTGTTCTTTGTCTGAAGTTTAAAGCATCTTTGTGTGTCATGAAAAGTACATGTTTGTCAGCAGTATTTATAGTTCTAATTGAATACATTAAGCCATTTAACTATTCTGATATGAGTATAGAAACAGTCTGTTTTCTTTTAAAAAATACAAAAAGTGAACAAGAGCATTCTCAAGCCTTGTGTATAGTCGCGTTTCGCTTAAAGCTGCACTAACTGACTTTATTTTTGCATTCATTACGAAAATGCTATCCATGTCCATGTAGTGCATTGGGATATACGTCCTTTTGAAGAAAAAGTAGCGCAGATTTGTGCTGGCGTGACATTATATTTTAGATCGAGTTTGAGAATGTGTTTTAGGAAGAGAATGTGTTTGGGGTCGCAGATTGTGACCAATCACAGCGCACCACTACCCCCCACTTTCGTGAGAAATCTACAGGTCCGTTAGCACAGACAGCTGAGTTAGCACAACAAGCGGCGGAGCTAACCTGAAGCTTCGTGTGTCTTCGTCACCGGTTACTGCTTACACAGCGAAATTTGCACGCCATCCACGTGCAAATCCATGTCCATGGATTATCCATATTGGGAGACGCTAGCTCCGACGCTAGCTCTGTGTGGCGATAGCTTCGTGGGTGCGGGGAGGGGAGCAGCAAGAGAGAGGCCAGCGGGACCGCGGCTTCAAAATCCCAAAGTCAGTTAGCACAGCTTTAAGGTGGTGACGTGATGTCACTTGCGCAACGCAAGGATCACCGCAAGACCCCTGCGTAGCCTGCCGCGCACCCTCAAAAATTTCTAACTACGTGCTTGTAATTCAAGTTTGTCAGATCACTCTGCAAGTAGTCCGGCCACTTCGTCAACGAGCTTTCAGCGTTTACGCTAGCGTTATCTTTTTCCAGAGGCGCCTGTCACTACTTCTTTCTCTGTGAGAGAAGCTGGGGGAATCGCTCCTGAGGTTAAAGGTGGTGATCGGTTGACAGCTCCGCCCCTCTCTGTGATACGACAAGAAAGTCGATCATTGACATCCGGCCTAGGGTGTCCTGGTGCCACCTGCACTGGTGGTCACCCTTGTGCTCGAATGGTGTTCATGATTAACAAACTGTGACTAGCAAAGAAGTCCAACAACTGAACACCGCTCGGGTTCAGATCAGGGGGGGCGTTCTTCCCAATCACCCCTCTCCAAGTGTCACTGGCATTTCCCACATGAGCGTTGAAGTCCCACAGGAGGGACTGCCCACGTCATCCCTTCGGGCTGAGCCCGGCCGGGCCCCGTGGGCTAAGGCCCGGCCACCAGGCGCTTGCTTTCGAGCCCCGACCCCAGGCCTGGCTCCAGGATGGGGCCCCGGGATTCGCCATGCCGGGCGACGTCACTGTTATTCTGATAGTGCTGTCCATCGTTGGCTTCAGACTGCGGTTTGTCTGACTCGTCACCCGAGACCTGTCCGCCATGGGAGACCCTACCAGGGGCATGAAACCCCAGACAACATAGCTCCCAGGATCATCTGAGTACTCAAACTCCCCCACCACGTTAAGGTGGCAGTCCAGGGGGGAGTGCTGTGGATTGATGAAACCAAAATTGAGTTATTTGGGTTAAACTAGAGACGTTATGCATGAAGAAAAATATGGTGGAATCCAAAATGGCACATGGATTCTACTCAATGTCAGTAGATTATGGAGAATAATGTCCAGGAATCAGTGACAAATTTTACGATGCCAGGGCTGGATCTTTCAACAAGACAACGACCTTAAACACTGCTTAAAATCTAGAGACATTCATGTAGAGCAGGGGTGGCCAACCAGTCAGAGACTAAGAGCCAATTTTTTTTACTGTGTTACAGCAAAGAGCCACATCATACAAATGTGCACTACAGTAGGTCCCATTTCGTTTTGTCGTCTTCACTCACG